CGATCGCATTGCAGCCGGAGGTCGTGGCTACGGTGCCATTCACTTCAATGGCCCGCCACGTCCCCCCTGCCCCACAAAAAGTGAGCCGCCTGCAATGCGAGGCAGTGCGTTCTGGCCAGAATCGGGCCGGAACGCACTGCATCTGGTGTGAACGAGTCCTTAATAAAACTCAGAATTGTTTTCACCTGGGACATAAAGAAAAGGGACGGTCACAGCCAGTAAAAAAAACACATTTAATTTCTGTAAGAAAAACAGGGGCACAATAAGTGTTTACTTCATATGAAGAATTGTAGATTTTCTAGCATTATAATGTGATTATTTTCCGGTTCAGATCTCAGCACAGTTCTGCCTTTTTAAAGCTGGCTACAAACTATTTTTAGATTTTTCTTACATTTGGCTGATGTAACCGATAAATCTATCAATAAGTATGTAGTGTGGGGGCTCACCTAAACAATATGTTCAGTTCCCATTAAATCGGCCTCCACACTACATATATTATTGGTACATTTTTCTGATCGAATCTAAAGAAAATCTATTAGCCATTGCTAGTTTAGGAGAGTGAGTGTAACATTTTGTACTTGTTAATAGTATTCCTGATCTTAATGGTGTTATCTTTGAAAGAAGACATGTGCAGATGATCCATCAGTCTGTGACATTCCCTTTTGGTTCACAGGTGGAGGTATGCTGGAGGTTTGCATAAAAAAGTATTGCATCTCTGTGTACATGGTCACTGGAGAAAGATGCATGGATCTGTCATAATATAAGAATATTAAATAGGGATGCACCGATACTGGTTTTCCGGTCCCGAATACCGATATTTTATTTTTTTGGTACTCGATGATACTGAGTACCAATACCCTTGCTCTGTGCCCCAATTATCAGGAAGCAGGGCAGCGGATCATAACCTGCCGCCCAGCTTCCTGATTGCCTGGGAAGCTGCTGTTCTAGCGAAAGAACACCGGCTTCCACGTCTCCGAGGCTGCCTGGCTTCCTGACCAATCAGGAAGCCGGGCAGCACGTTGTGAATACTAATATCGGTGCATCCCTAGTATTAAATGTTTATATATTCAGGGGGCTTGTACACAAATGTGTGGGTCAAAAATGCTTAATGCATATATCTAGTGTCCTCTGAATTCTTTTCTTGATGCTGAAAATGTATACAGCGCCGATTGGCTGTATAGACACATGTGATCATTGAAGCATCTGCTTGAATTCACAAGGCCTAATTATTTTGCCATTAATGCACAGAGATCAATACATTTTTTGTGGGTTTCCTCCTTCTTTGGGCTACCCAATACACAGCATGGTGATTACAGTTGGTGGGTTTATGAACAGGGATGCCCTGCTTGGCAGAAATGTTCGTGTGAATGAAAAGGTGTGGAGGGAGGAGATGAGTTATGCTGGCAGTCACTAACTATGTCATGGGGATGTGGACAGTAATCTGCTTGATCAGAGCAGAGGCCAGTTAATTGGTGTATGGGCTCTCCTTAGATATAAGCTTATTGCATGGGTTGGCTGAAAACACCTAGGTTGGGCTACTGTGTCATCTCTGTTTTTGTATGCGTCAAAGAAACCTGTTCACTGTTCAGGTTCTGAAACCTAAATGGAAGTCGGGGAAATTGAGAACTCATTTGCAAAGCCTAAGGCACAGTTTCATCTCTAATTGAGATTGCTGAGTTAAGCCTTTTATTATAAAAAAATTAATAAAACTTTGCTATGCGTATGTTGAATATATTTTGTCATCCTTTTTTTTGCCTTTTGAATTTAGATGACTTTTTACTTAATGCAAGAAACTGAAAATGTTTTTCACATTTTTTTAAATGTATTTTTTTTAAAAATGTATTAAATACTTTTATTTTTTTACTTTACTTTCGGGGGCTTTGTGGAAATATTAGGGGTCTAAAACAGACCCCTGATGATATTTCCCTTTTTAAAAGAGATTGAGGACACAGAGCCCTCATTCTCTTTTTCTGGATCCCCAGTTATCAATGAACAGGAATCCTTATGTGTGACATAAGGAAAGGGGAAGTACTATTCAGGTGTGTGCAGGGGCGTTTCTATGACTACCTTATGTACATTTTATATAAAGATTGGATGCCAATATCAAAAGGACTCATTGCATTTCCCCCAGTATCAGTCAGGCAGGAATGTGTTGCACCAGTAACTGTGGGAATGATTGCTTTATTTTGTCTAGATTAGGTAATGATCATCTTATGTCTGTTGATATGTTCAGTTTTATTAGTCGCCTGAAGCATACAGCTCAGACACCAGCCATTGGATACATCCCCTGACCAATGATTCACTTATTTGGGATGTGGTCAATAAAACCAGCCTGCCTTAAATTCAGACATTAGTACAAAGTATCGCAAATAAATAAATAACATAAAAAAATTGACCATATTAACCAATGTTCTCTACTATTATAGCTTGGATTTAGAGCTAACTGGAAACAGACTTCAAAACCAGACAGAGACACACTGAGTTATTGAGCAAAGAGAAAGAAAGGATGAAACTGGTACAACTGAAATGTAGAAATTCACTCTAAACAAGTTGTCATACCATGGCATATTTATGAATAAAGGAGAATCCTCTAAATAAAGTCTCTAAAACACCTCCCTAACACTGTCTTAAATGTGAGACTATTTAAAAGAACTATGAGGTAAGTGTTTTTCCCCATAGTTCCCTTTAGGGTCACGGGAGGCCATAAACTAACCTCCTCCCGTGACCCAAAGCTCAGTATATCGCATGCGATATACTGAGAGCGCTCCAGCCGGATCCCAACAGTACTGTTGTGCTGCACCCACCTGTGTGAGTGACAGCTGGCTCTGCCTATCTAGAGGCAAAGCCAACTGTGCCCGCCCCCTCCCCCGTTCATTGCTCCACTCAGTGCTAGACGATAGTAGAGGGGGGAATCACTGCATGGAGCAGTAATGGTCACAGTCACTGCTCACTGCAGAGAGACGATCGGGAAATGAGCGGATCGGCTGCATGTTTCTGCTCACTTCCTGATCAATAGAGCCGACCTGTGACAGCTTCTTTGTCACGAGTCGGCTCTAACTATGAGGATGAGTGGAAGTCACTCACCTCATAGT